TTTTCATCGAAGTTCTCATCACATCCTCAAAAACATATTAACCTTAAGTTATTATACTGAAGGATAAAAAGAGTTTAGGTCTAGCTATGCATGGCAAAGCGATATATTGTTTGTTGGATTGCCTATCGACCAAGCAACCAGTCATCGATGTTTTTCTGTTTTGTAGTGTAAACATAAAAAATATTTTAGTTCTAAATTCTAATCATCCCTTTGAAAACCAGTAACTTATTTTCGTCAAACTTCTATATAAAAAAACATTTTATAGATGTGGTAAATATAAGTGAAATGACTTAAGAAAGGAAAAAAAAAATGTGAAAACATATATTTTAAAATAAAACAAGAAGCCATAGACAAAAACATGACAGAGTGGCAGCTAGCAAAAGAATAGTTTCTAATTCCGGTTTTACCCTTTTGAACATTTGAAATACAAATTACTCTACTGACTATTCTTGTCTTTTAGAAGAATATGGGAAAATATCAATATTAATTCTTTTTTTTTTCTTTACATTTTTACTACAAATTTATTACTTTTTAACGGTCTTCCCACACACAAAAGCTTTATCGACAAGCATGCGATGAACTTCACTTTAGACTACCAATGAATCTGGTATTTCTTTTCCATTTTTAAAATTTCTGACACATAATAAAAAATAATCTTTTTTAAGTAAAAGATTATGCTTTTTGGTGAGTGGGTTCCTCTGCCATATAAAGCAGTTTTTCTTGATGGTGAAATGTTTTTATAATTTAACCTCAAAAAAAATATAGAAACAGATTTGGTTTTTGATTCTTCCAATCTATCTTTCACTCTCTCTATATCTCCATCAAATACCAAACTATCTGGAAACTGAGTGCATCTTGTTTTCTCCTCATTCCTTTCTCTCTGTTTCAGCAACGGAGAGTAGCACTATAGTCATGATGATGACGTTGATGATGATGAGAAGATCTTTAGTTTATTTCATGGGATTCTTATGCCTTCTCTGCTCTGTTAACGGTTTGCTTTCTTCTAATGGAGTTAACTTTGAAGGTAAGTCATCCATCATACAGTTTAAATCTTCAGCCTCACTCCAGCTTTCTGGTTTTTTGTCTTCTTGAATTCTCACTTTTTTTATTTTTGATCCAAACTAATTTGGGATTTTAGCAAAAAAAAAAAAAACTAATATGGAAATTGAATATTTTGTTTAGTGCAAGCTTTGATGGACATAAAAGCTTCATTACATGATCCACATGGTGTTCTTGATAACTGGGATAGAGATGCTGTTGATCCTTGTAGTTGGACAATGGTCACTTGTTCTTCAGAAAACTTTGTCATTGGCTTGTAAGTTTCACATTTTCACCCATACATTTTAGTAAGAATGTTTTTTAAGTGAAGTAAAGTAAAATAAAAGAAATGGTTTAATTTTATTACAGGGGCACACCTAGTCAGAATTTATCTGGTACATTATCTCCAAGCATTACCAACTTAACAAATCTTCGGATTGTGTGAGTACTTATTGTTTACTTAAAACCATATTTGATTATTTTTATGAATATTTTTGTGAATGTTATTGATGATTTTTTTCTTCTCTTTTGCAGACTGTTACAGAACAACAAAATAACAGGAAAAATTCCTTCTGAGATTGGTAGGCTTACAAGGCTTGAGACTCTTGATCTCTCTGACAACTTCTTCCGTGGTGAAGTTCCTTTTTCACTAGGCTATCTAAGAAGCTTGCAATACCTGTAAGAATAGAGTAGTAAAATTGTTATAAGATCTCTTAGTTTGTGATCTTGATATATAAATTGTGTATGATCAGGAGGCTTAACAACAATTCTCTCTCTGGAGTAATACCTCTGTCACTGTCCAACATGACTCAACTTGCTTTACTGTAAGCTAAATTTACATTAACCAGTTCATAAATAGAGACATGTAATAATGTGGGTCTTTCTTTTTTCTAGAGATTTGTCATACAACAATCTTAGTAGTCCAGTCGCAAGGTTTGCTGCAAAGACCTTTAGGTGATTGATTCTTTCTCAACCTCTCATTCTTTCTATAGTCTTTGATCAACTATAATAGTTTTCCTTTTGATTACAGTATTATTGGGAACCCGCTGATCTGTCCCACTGGTAAGGAACCAGACTGCAATGGAACTACATTGATACCAATGTCTATGAACTTGAATGAAACTGGAGGTAACTACAAAACTAACTAAGTACTTGTAAACACTTCAATATTAGTACTTGTAAACTAACAACCGCTTTCTCTGTTTTTATTAAAGCTCCTTTATACGTTGGTAGATCAAAGAATCACAAAATGGCAATAGCCGTTGGATCTAGCGTTGGGATTGTATCACTGATCTTCATTGCTGTTGGGTTGTTTCTCTGGTGGAGACAAAGACATAACCAAAACACATTCTTTGATGTGAAAGGTTTGTGATCTTTCTCAGTTTCTTACTTGCATAGAAGCTTCATTTGAAAAGAAACTTAATGTTTTAACCAGATGGGCATCATCATGGAGAAGTTTCACTCGGAAACCTGAGGAGATTCGGTTTCAGGGAGCTTCAGATCGCTACTAACAACTTCAGCAGCAAGAACCTCTTGGGCAAAGGAGGTTATGGAAATGTCTACAAAGGCACACTCGGAGACAACACAGTGGTTGCAGTAAAACGTCTCAAAGATGGAAATGCATTAGGAGGGGAGATTCAGTTTCAGACAGAAGTAGAAATGATCAGTTTAGCTGTTCACAGAAACCTCTTAAGACTCTACGGTTTCTGCATCACCCAAGCCGAGAAGCTTCTGGTTTACCCTTACATGTCTAACGGAAGCGTAGCGTCTAGAATGAAAGCAAAACCGGTTCTTGATTGGAGCATTAGGAAGAAGATAGCTATAGGGGCTGCAAGAGGGCTTGTGTATCTCCACGAGCAGTGTGATCCCAAGATCATTCACCGTGACGTCAAAGCAGCTAATATACTCCTTGATGACTACTGTGAAGCTGTTGTTGGTGATTTTGGATTAGCTAAACTCTTAGACCACCAAGACACTCATGTAACTACTGCCGTTAGAGGCACGGTAGGTCACATAGCTCCTGAGTATCTCTCAACAGGTCAATCCTCCGAGAAAACCGATGTTTTCGGGTTCGGGATTCTACTTCTTGAGCTTGTAACGGGTCAAAGAGCTCTTGAGTTTGGTAAAGCGGCTAACCAAAAAGGAGCTATGCTTGAATGGGTTAAAAAGATACACCAAGAGAAGAAACTTGAGGTTCTTGTTGATAAAGAGTTGCTGAAGAAGAAGAGCTATGATGAGATTGAGTTGGAAGAGATGGTGAGAGTTGCTTTGTTGTGTACACAGTATTTGCCTGGACATAGACCTAAGATGTCTGAAGTTGTTAGGATGCTTGAAGGAGATGGACTTGCTGAGAGATGGGAAGCTTCTCAAAGATCAGAGAGTGGTTCTAAATGTAGTAACAGTAGGGTTAATGAGTTGATGTCGTCTTCGGATAGATACTCTGATCTTACTGATGACTCTACTTTACTTGCACAAGCTATGGAGCTCTCTGGTCCTAGATGAAAAGAAAAGCCTGAAAAGGAGTTTTATGTTTCTTGAATCTTGGAGCATTCTTGTTTCTTCTTTTTAATTTGTATAATATAAGGTTTTTTTAGTTGGGAATGTTTTTTCTCTGTAATTGTATAGGCTATAGTGTTACTTTTTTTTTCTGTCAGCTGGCTAAAGTGTTATTATGTAACAAATTTTGATTTACTGTATTTAGGAGTTAGTGTTGGATTTCATGTTTAGAAGTTGGGAGTGGTAGTTTCAAGTTGAGAATGCAATTTATCTATCTTGGTAAAATAGAAAAATTGTGTTAGATTTAATGTTTTTTTTGTAAATTTTTAAATTAAATACACCTTTCTACTTTATAGTTAAACTTACATTAAATCACTAATATTATTTTTTATACAACTATTCATCTTTTCAAACAATATATTTTTTTTTATAATACTATCAATGTTTCCAAACAACACTATAATCGATCTTGAGTCTAAACAATACAAAATATTAGGTATTATTTTTTTTTTATAATTTCTAATAATTTTCTTTCAAGTTATTAAGATAAATTAAATAATTTTAAAAATTCAAATAGTTTATAAAATAACAAAGATATAAATAAAATTAATTTCACATGTTTAAATATTATATATCGTTTATCCATCGGTTCAATCGATTTGTCTTGGTATTTAATGGTTTTCAAAATAAGGATATTTTTGAAAATCCAAGTCGAATTATCGGATCACTAGATTAACCAGTTAAACTAGGTATCCAGGTCAAAATTAAAAACCCAGATTTAAATATAAAAATATTTTAAATAAATCATTTTTTAAAAAATTAACAAAAATATTTGTTAATTAGTAAAAAAAAATTATCATAAGATATTCCTACGCAGATGAAAATCTAGCTATATTTATATCATAAAATATTATTATTTCAATTAAAGTACCCCATAAAACATAGCTTTTTGACTATTGGGTACCGTTTATGATTTTTATTTGGGTCAGTTTTTTTCAATCTACCCAGCCCACCTAAATAATAAACTCTAATTTATCAAAGAGCAATTCTCTAAAATAGTAATCTTTTGAGTTTTTATCCCAAAATAGATCTCAAAAATTAAAATGACCAAAATAATACTTTTTATTTTAAAAATTTTAAGTTTTTTTATTTTCTTTAAATTCGAAACCCTATCCTCAAAACTCTATACCTCAATTCTAAACAAAAAAATATAAGATTAGTTAACCTAAGGTATAAATATATATTTAAACGTTTAAATGTTATTTTGGTCATTTTAATTGTTAAGGTCTATATTTGTGATAAAAATTTATTTTAGGTCTATCCTAATCATTTTCTCATTACCAAATCTCTCAAATAATAAATCAGTGGATTAATTAATTAATTTAATTAGTTCTAAGCAAAAACGAAAAAAACATTTATTTATTTAACCTAGAGTAAGTCGCGTTTTATTTTCTTTCTGTCTCTCCTCTCAGTCTCCACTCACGCGTATCCATATCCTCATTGCATCGCCGCCGCCTGTTCAACACTCTCCGGCCGAATTCAGCGGGTAAGTCTCCGTTCAATCTCTTAGCCTCTCCCACCGATATCTCCTGCTGGCTCAACTGGTTGTATTAGTTAGGCTATCTATAATGAAATAAAAAAAAACCATATCGATTGCAACTCGTGAAAAACTGTTGATTTCGAGTTTAATTTCTCTACCGATCTATTGGATATTCTCAGATCTTATCAGCTGGTGAAATGCTTAGATTATGTTCTTCATTTTTTTTTTGTCTCTCTTACGCAGGAAAATAAAGATCCGACAATGCCTACAGTGAATGTCGGAAGAGACCGTCTGTTCGCTGCTCTTGGAAAAACCTACAGTAAACTCTAAGAAACTCTTCCTTTTTCTTCTTCAGTACACAACTTGTGTTTTCTTACTTGTTTGTTTTTGATTCCGTTATGTTTTTTTCTTCTTTTAATTGTTTAGCTAAGGAAGAGTTTGAGGATCTTTGTTTCCGTTTCGGTATTGAGCTTGATGATGTGGTGAGTGCATTGCCTCTCTCTCTCTGTTGGTTTCGAGGTTAATTTATTTTCCACTGATTAGTTTTTTTTTTTCTTATGTAATGGCTAAGACTACTGAGAAAGCAATAATCAGGAAGGAAAAACATATCGAAGAAGAAGCTAAGGATGATGAAGAAACCATCTACAAGATTGATATTCCTGCCAACAGGTTAAGAAACTCATCTGCGTTTTTTTTGATTAAAGAAGAGAGTCTGATCGATTTTTTAGTATTTACGTTTTAATCATTGCAGGTACGATTTGCTCTGCCTTGAAGGGATTGCTCAAGCTTTGCGTATTTTCAACAAGAATCAGGAGATACCAACATATAGGCTTTCTGACATTGGCAAGGACCAGATGCTTAGGATGAGTGTTAGGTCTGATCAGGTGTGTATCTCTTAGCCGTGGCAACTCAACAAAATTTCTTTTGTTTTTCTTTACTGTGTTACTGATGTTTCGCCATTCTGCAGACGTCTCAGATTCGCCCTTATGTTGTCTGTGCTGTTTTAAGAGGCGTTACCTTCGATGAGGCTCGTTACAACAGCTTCATCGATCTTCAGGACAAACTGCATCAGAACATTTGCAGGTCAATGTTATTTTTCAGTTTCGTGGATTGCGTTGACATTTATTCCTATATTTTCTGCAAACTGTGTGAGATATCGATTTGTCGTCACTGCATGTTTCAGGCGAAGATCCCTGGTTGCTATTGGAACTCATGACTTAGATACATTACAAGGCCCTTTCACATATGAGGTGAGTGTTCTACTCTTTTCCAGTTTTGTTATTTATCTGTTACTATTTCTCTACTGTTCTTGTTTGGTGTCATTTCTGTAGCTGGAATGATAATCAAACTTATATACAATCTGTTCCCTTTTATATGTGCTTTTACGATAGGACATTGACTGTGGTCTTTGCTTCTTATTTTCAGGCCTTGTCGCCAAAGGATATAAATTTTGTACCTTTGAAGCAAGTAAGTTTCCTTTCTCTGTTACTGATGTAGATATGTGATATCATTTTTGTTGTTTATAGCATTCGTATCAACTTGCTGATACAGATATATGATTTTGTTTCTCATGTCTTTTTGTGATAACATCTTATTATATATGGTTTCATATTTGGAACGCTGGCTAATACAATCTCTTGGTGCAGACTAAGAGCTTCAGGGCTGACGAACTAATGGAATTCTACAAGGTATCGCCAATGGAAAAACGTGTCTTTTCTAATATTTTTTGGTTCATATTAGTCTGAATATTTACTCAGACTGCAACCGGTCTGAATAAATTCTTACTTAAAAACTTATCCTTATCTGATGACTGTTTATTTTTATATTCTTTTTTTTTTTGCAGTCAGATTTGAAGTTGAAGAAGTATCTACACATAATTGAGAGCTCTCCCGTCTTCCCTGTTTTATACGACAGTAAAAGGTATTTAGTGGTTCTTCGCAGTAAACTATGTGTATCAACTGAAACTAATGAAGGTTCGCTTTTGCAGAACGGTGTTGTCATTGCCACCAATTATCAATGGTGCACATTCAGCAATTAGCCTGCAGACAAAGAATGTCTTCATTGAATGCACAGCAACTGATTTGACCAAGGCCAAGATTGTTTTGAATACAATGGTAATGTGGTTGACAAATCAACAGTCACTATACTTAAAGGATTAATGTTTCAATGATCATTCATCACTGTTTTGTTTTCCAGGTTACAACCTTTTCTGAATATTGTGAGAAGAAGTTTGAGATTGAGCCTGTTGAGGTTACATATGACAGCGGAGAGTCATACATCTCTCCGGATCTAGCTGTTTACGATATGGAAGTTCCTCTCTCTTATATCACTGACTTAATGGGAGTCTCTTTGGAGGTGGAAGAGGTAATAATGATGGCGATCAAGTTGTTATTGGACAATGAACCATTCTCCTTTTTATTGCTGTGTGTTTCTCTCTCTTTGAGGCCCCATGTGAATACTAATCCAATTGTTCTGGCATGTGTAACCTCCAGGTTACAAGTCTGCTGAACCGAATGCAGTTGCGTGCTGAGCGATCAACGTCTAGTGAGAGCCAATGTCTCGTAAAGGTACATGTACCCCCTACCAGAAGCGACGTGCTCCATCCTTGTGATGTTATGGAGGTAACTTCTTATAATTAGACCTTTATACATGGATGGCTTTATGAATAATATTGTGTAGGTTACGTAATACCTTTGTCTATATTTCGCCAGGATGTCGCCATTGCCTATGGTTACAATAACATCCCGACAAGAATTCCTGCTTCGATAAAACCACTGCCTTTGAACGAGTTCAGCGATCTTCTCAGATCAGAGGTTACTAGCACTTCCACTTGCTTCGTTTATATCCCCATCTGTCAAGCATTTATATCTCACAGAGGTTGTCTTATTCGTTCTTGCACTTTTAGATTGCAATGAATGTGTACACGGAGGTTCTGACATGGATACTGTGCTCGCACAAGGAAAACTTTGCATTGCTAAACAGAGAAGATGACAATTCAGCTGTTATAATTGGGAACCCCCGGGGAGCTGATTTCGAGGTGCCTCTCAAAACCGTTTTTTCATATACTCAGTGGCCATTTTCCTGTATCCTCCTGGTTACTACCCTTCCGTTTGGTTCATTAAACAGGTAGTAAGAACGAGGCTAATGCCTGGACTACTGAAGACAGTTGGTTCCAACAATAAGCACCCTAAACCTATCAAGGTAAGCGCTTTGGTTTTACCTTTGTTGTCTCTAGTTACCTTACTTGAATTTGAAGTCTCTTGATCAATTTCTTTATTGTTGTTGTTTCAAGATTTTTGAAATAGGTGACGTGGCCTTATTGGATAAAACAAAAGACGTCGGTGCATCCAATCGCCGTCATCTGGCTGCACTACACTGTGGTGTTACTTCTGGATTTGAGGTATATAGTGTGTTTTTTTTCCCAGCTCATTGTCGTAGCCATGGATGATACTTAAAAAAATCTTATCTGTATGATTCAGCTTATACATGGCCTCGTCGATAGAGTCATGGAAGTAATGGGAGTCCCATTTGTATCAAACGGTGACAATACAGGATACTATATAAACCCCTCTGAAGTAAGCTCTTATATTTACGAGTTACATTGTCTTTGATCAGCATTACGCAGACACTCTAAACTATTTCATTGCTCTTATCTGCGAAAGGAACCTGAGTTCTTACCTGGTAGACAAGCCAGTATCATTTGCAAAGGGAAACATGTTGGTAACTTTGGAATCGTGCATCCTGAGGTACACTTTCTTCATCGTGTTTTTGATTATAAAAATCCGCATATCAAGCGGTTTTGTTTCTGATTGTTTGATTTTTGCTCCAGGTTTTGAACAACTTTGACATCACTGATCCATGCTCTTTCGTGGAGATTGACATCGAAGCTCTCCTTTAGAAAGCTTCTACTATATCTGGATATGTGCTCAATTGTTACAAAATTCTTGGTTTTATTTGTTTTAAGGATAAAGGGAGGATTGGTCATACAAATTATTTAGCTTTTTCGTTTGATGGATTAAATTGTTTGCAGTTTCGCATAGACATGACTGTAAACTGGAGTTCATTTGACAAAGTCTTGCCTGAAAAAAGAATTTGTTGAGGATACGAATTTATGTATTTCTACCCGATCTCTGTGTGTTATCTAATACTAAAATAAAAGAGTTTAAGAAAGAACAACAACAGCTAAATATCGTATCTTCATAACTGCATAGTTTCTTGTCTGTTGTCTCCTTTTAAATCATTTATATATTTCAATTAAAATTAATTAAAATATAAGATAATTGGAGAGGACGAGAATCATCCAACATTACAGAAAACAAGGCTTTGCTTCTTCTTCTTCCAAAGCAAACCAAACAAAGTAACAAACAATGGAGATTGTGACGAGTTTTGTATATCCACCGCCTCCGTCGATACTGCTCAACACCATGAGCGTCGTGGGTTTAGTCTCTCTGGCAAAGGTCGGTTGGTCGGAAGTTAGAGGAAATCATCTGAAATACTCAAAATTCAACAACAACAAATCATCATCTTCATCATCATCACCACCCCCACAACCACAAAAACATGGTCTCGGCAGCTTCTCGAGCCGAACCGGAATGCTTTTACTATATACACCCGCCTTCCTAGCCGCTGCTTCTTCTTTCTTCCTCGTACCTTCTGATGATCTCAGGTTTCTTCTCCTCAAATCCGCACTTGCCCTCCATTTCTTCAAGAGGATCTTCGAGGTAATAACATTCCCTCTCTTAGACGCATTTCATCGAACACCTTGTACTCATTAATAAATATAGCTAAGAACAATGAGTTTTTTTATTCTGTCATCTCTTTGACGCATTTCATCGAACAGGTTATGTTCGTTCACAAGTACAGTGGAGAGATGGCTATAGACTCCGCTCTCACCATAACCACCAGCTACTTCTCATCCACGGCATTGATGCTTTACAGCCAAAGCTTCACACTAGGACTCCCCGAGCCACATTTCGATCTGATACCCCTCGGGATTGCGATGTTTGTGGTGGGAATCGTTGGGAATCTGTATCACCATGTTTTGTTAGCTAAGCTAAGGAGTGAAGATGGGACTAAAGAGTACAAGATACCGAAAGGTGGTCTTTTCGACACGATCATATGTCCTCACTATCTGTTCGAGATCCTTGTGTTTTGGAGCTTCTTTATGGTTTCTCAGACAATTTACTCGTTTACTTTCGCCATGGGAACTACTTTTTATCTCGTTGGTCGGAGTTACGCTACGAGGAGTTGGTATCTTTCTAAGTTTGATGACTTTCCTAAGCATATCAAGGCTTTGATTCCCTTTGTGTTCTAGATAATGATTATTTCTGCTATCAACAAATGTCTTTTTCTTTCACTTAGAATCGTCGAAAACTGATTTCATATCAGTAGTAGTAGTGTTTATGAGAATTATTTGCTTATTTATAATCACATTTATTTGAAAAACGTGATACAATTGTACACTATTCTTCATTAAATCTTTTGTATGTTTAAGTATGTTTTAATAGATTTATAGTTTTTAATACTGAATTTACATTTGAAATTTAGAAAACTAATCCAAGTTTGTAGTTACAAATTCGGCCAAAATAATATTTATATGTTCGTTGTTAAAAAGATAATTAGATGATTATTGGGCCATAATTTGTAAGCCCAAATATTACTATTGGGCTACACTCGGGTTTTAATTAATGTCAGTTACCTCCGCGGACAACTTCTGAAACCGACACGTCGTCCGTGTTCCTAGTTTGGGCGGCAAAATTTGCAGAACACGGCTCTGTCTTCTCGACCTTCTTGCGAAGTCTACAACAATGGTGGATTTGAGATTATTATTCTTCTCCTTAATCATCATCTTCTTCCTATTCGTCCTCTCGACAGTTTCTCAATCACCAGGTAAAATTTTACTCTCCTCTACTTTTTACATTATTAAATTTCCCCAAGTACATAGTTTATCTCTCTTAAATGTTTCAGACAAAACCGTGGAGAACAAACCTCTTCGAATTCTCTCGAAGACACTCATCGGCGATGACGGCAGAGTCTACGCTTGCTCCGACAACGATTTCTTCTCCTTCGAGTCTAACGGTTCAATCGCTTGGTCCGTACACATGGATTTCAAATGTAACACCGATTTCTCCCCGGTTTATTCCGGTTTCAACCAGGTACATTCCAATCTCCTAAACCGTTTCTCCAGTTCTCAAAGTGATGGACGGTTGTTGTTGTCTTCAGATGCTCGTTCTTGCAGAGAATCGTATCCTGAGAATTGATTTCCCAAGAAACGGAACCAAATCTGAACCGGAAACGTTCTTTGATCCAGGCGAAACCATTCTCGGTTTCGCGGTTAGCATATCGAGTTCTTCGGTTTACATCACGGTCAAGGACCATGGTCTCTACGCTTATAATATGCTTCGGCAGCAACTCTGGATCGCAGAGCCTAAAACCGAACGGTTCGGTTACAGATTAGGTTGTCGAAGAGATTACGATAACTGTAAATTCGATTCTCCACCGGTTATTGATTCTTGCGAAGCAAGCATCTATGTAACACACTCTCTTTCTTTCTCAACCTCAAGTAATGTTGTGTTGTTGATTGATTCTTGCTAAGCACGCAAGTATCTATGTAACACCTCTTTAATTTTAATCTTTTTTTTTAGATTTCAAACAATGAAGGAGAACTCTACTCGTTATCTCTCCGTGGCATATACTACAATTGGATTCAAGATTTGAGTCTAGTGGACCGGTTCTTCACCGTTACACCAGGGAACAACGGTCTAGTCTACGTTGTCTTCCCAACAAAGTCTCTAGTTTCCGCGTTAGATTCATTCTCTGGTGATATTCTCTGGCAAAAAACCGTTGGTCCACTAGCAGAAAGTTCCGGTTCACAACCTGTCATAGATACAAACAGTTAGTCTCTCATTAACCAAATCTTATTCCATTGTAAGATCCACTTGACCTTAGTCTAATCTAGGGTTTTGTTTTTAACAGGTTGGGTATCGATTGGTTCGCTAGATGGGACGTTATACTCGTTTTCAAGAACAGGGGAGCTTCATAAGATGCCAGAAAACGTGGAAACAGATTCAATGATCCAAGTAGAGCCGTTACTGGATTGTTCTGGTAACGCGGTTTATGTTTCTCAGACAAAGCTAGAAGGAAAGACTGATTTAGTTATTGGAGATAGTACTTACGTGTCGGCTAAGAAACCAGAAACCGTGGTTTTTTCACTTGTAGTTCCAGAGACAAGATCTATCCACTGGTCTCATAGTTATTCTGGTAAAAAACCCTATTCCTAATTATTGACTATTACTCTATATCTCGTTGAAACTATTTGGACAATGAAGATTGTTGTATCAGATCAATCTTCGAGTTTGTTACTTGACGAAGATCTACAACATTTTGTGTTGGACGAGAGGATTGTTCTTGCGTTCATTGCAGCTTCTAACTCTGGAAACCCATTTAGATGTCGTTCTAAGCACGATAAACTCTCGTCTAGCTGTTCGTTTGCAGAACCAGAGCATCTTGATATCTACATTGGTAAACCCTAAAATATCATTGTTTTCTTGGTTACTTGTTTCTTAAGAAACTCTTTTTTTCAGGCAATGAAAGAACGATAATCTGGTTTCTACTGTTCGAGTTTTTGCTCATTGTCCTCTTTGCCGCGCTTGTAAGGTTCTGTTTTATATTCTGGAAGAAACAAAAGCTTCAAGGTCGTCCCTTCAGTGCCTTTTTGGACAAGCGAGTAAGCAAGCCCTAGACTTCTTTGCGTTACTTAAGTCGCAAGAAACATCTCTTTACAGTATTTTACTTTTTTATTTCAGCGTTTGTTGCACAGAAAGAGGAGAGAAATCGAAAGAACCATAACAAGACTCCAAAACGAGTTAACGGCTGATGAATTCTCCGTGGATAAAATCAATGATTTGGTTCAAGAGAGGGAAAACGTGAAGAGGAAACTCTCTTCGACCTATAGTCTTGGAAGGGACATAGATGCGTCAAAGTCAAAAGATCATGTTCTTCCCTTGTACGGAGGAGGTTCTAGAAGCTTATCTTTTAGAAACAGGGGGAACGAGAGTATCACGATTTTTCAAACACATCGCCATGAGTCATCATCTTCGGAAGATAGCTATAGGGACCAACAATATGATGATGATGATGATGATGATGATGGTGTTGCGGATGATGAAAATGATGAAGGTGACTTGAGACGTAAGCAAAAGGGAAAGTTCCTTGCTCATTCAGAGGGTTCTAATTCTAGTGATGTTGATGATGAATCATGCGGTGTTGGAAGTAGTAGAAGAAGCACATATTTGAAGAAGAGGTCGTTATCTTTGAGGGATTGAAGATTCACTTTGTGTGATTTGTAGTTACTTCTATAACCAAAGTAAAATAGTTATAGCTATAATTCTTTAAATACTAATGAAACAATATGTAGATCATTGCATAATGCAAAAATATTTGTTTAAAACAAACAAAGATGGGGTGAGGTCACTGTATATACAATTCGGTAAAAGATTACAAAACTAAACCAACCAAGCCAATTCGGCATTGTTTAAAAAGTTGTTTAAGTTGAGATTAATCATGCCAACAAAGAAGCATGACTACGCATCTTCTGATGATGTAAACCCTTCCCTTCTGTTCTTTCATGTACTTCCCCAATCTTCTACTTATTGATCTCTTCTTTTCCTTTGATCTCTCTGAGCTCCTTACGACCCTCTCCATTTCCATTTTTCAGGCTTCCAAAATTGATAACAGTTAAACAGAAGACGTCACAGGTGATAAAGTAATGATACTTGTTTGGTCTCTTCAGGAGTAATAAGCTAAAAACCAAACTTGTTTTTTTAGTTTTAGACTGATGGGAGAAGAAAGAGTTTTGATAGAAGATAACTGATTTTGAAGTAGACTTCACATGTGGAGGAGTGTGTATATATATAGAGAATTTGTGGGCATGCATGCATTGATGCATAGTTACATTTTCAACTAATATTTATACATATAGTGTTTTCTAATGAGAAAATATATTAATGACTTCATAAAAAAAAATCTTAACACACTTATTAAAAAACGGACTAATTATATATCCATGACTTCATCAGACTCAACAAAATTGAAACTCGGACTGATTAGTGAACATATAGTAAGTTTTGTCAACTGAACCAAGCTTAAAAAGTTTATCAAAATAAGTGTATGTAAAACACAATCCCACATGTCTTTCCTCGTGTTCCACCATGCAATCAAGCATAACTTGAACCTGGTCTTGCTTCATATATAGTATCCACTAAACCATACAGCTTAACCTTTTTAATGTATTAGAAATAGTATTTCTTTGCTAACCATTTCATTTTATTAATTACATTTCGAACTACTAAAGCAGAAAATACGGGGAACTGTTTGATCAATGGTCACCATACACTAGTTGTGTCTTCCATGTGTATGTTTAAAGACAAAAGATTTTATGATTGGCAGAAAAAGATACAATTAACATATTTTCTTTCATCTACGAATTGGCAGATATGGTTTTCGTTTAATATACAAGTCAAGATTATGTGGACATATCTCAATTTACGTTGCGGTGTCGTCTCTTTTCAGATATATTTTGAGAATTATTTTTGTCAATTTAATGGATTAATTTAAACACCTTAATGTATCAATATTCAAGATTCCATTTGAACTTTTATAAAACAAATAAACCAGCAAACACATTTTAATCTCAACTTTTACTAGAATTTTTTAATAGTGCATGTTATTGGCCGACAAAAAACAATGTGTTTGAAGAAGAAAAAAAAACTGAACAGAGACAAGTCTTGAAATTGGAGCAAAGGAAGGTGTGCAGCCAACCACACGTGATATTCGCGTGACTTGATGCTTACTGTTTGGTATAATCCAGACAACCTTTGTTTATCTTGTCTCCTGACTAATATTGATATGACTAATTTTCTTATTGATGTTTTGTTGCAAAATAATTACTGATTAGATGTAACAGTGAACTTGAACATAATTCTAGTATCATTAAGCCGTATCTTTACCTTGGATTAATCAAAGATTGTGTCCGTAATTAAAAACAATGTACGGTTCAACGCATCAAGTACTAGTTTCGTTTTTGTAATACAAGTTTGGTTACCTAATCATGACTATAGACTTTGTAGTTGGGTGATTAGTTTCTGTTTTATGAAGCATCCGATATTTTGGAATTAGTGATTTTATTCCTCTCTAATTATTAACTATAGGACATTTTATGTGAAATATGATTTACATGTACAGTTTAATATGAAAATTATGGAAAAATATAAACGTTGATTTAGAATTCGTTCATACTGGGAACTAACATATAGTCAACTGGCCCATAGGTTGTCATACGATCAAAATTGATGGGTATTTCAATTATTTTATCGGTTCAGTTTAACTTCAGTTAATTTAGTTTTAAAACTTTTTCAATTGAAATAAATCATAATTAATTTGATTTAGACTAATTTCGGCATGGTTTATATTTAGTTTGGTTTATGCTTTGGTTTGGTTTCAATTCTCTTAGTTTAGTTCTTTGAAAATAAATTATGTTTTAAAATATAAACGTATGGTTGAAATCATCAAAAATAAATTATGTAAATTAAGTCCAATATAAAACTGAAACAAAAACAAAAACTTGTAAACATACAAATTTATAAAAAAATACAATCAAATCAAAATTAACTAAAGTAAATAAAAAAATTAAAAAAACATCGCTAATATTACCTCTTAAAAATAAATTATGTAAATTAAATCCAATATAAAAATGAACAAAAACCTAAAAACCTATTTTTTTTTTTTGTAAAAACACAATCAAACCAAAATTAACTAAAGTAAACTGAAAATTGAAAAAACTCAACATCGTTAATAAAGTTAATAGTGACTTTAATCATAAGATTTTAGTTTATTGTATATTGTTAGTATGTTTAATTCAAATAATTACAAAACATATTGGTTTCTCGGTTATGCGTAACTCGGTTTGGATTGGATCGGTTTCTGTTCAGTTGGTTTAGGTTGTAAAAATCTTAAACCGAACTAGTTGATAATATATTCTGGTTTGGTTTAGATCGATTTTGGTTCGGTTGGTTCAGTTCGAGTTTTTTGTCCACCCCTAATCAAAATTACTGGTAGAGATGAGATACTAATAATCAAATTCTAACCCATCTCATTATCACGCCTCTCTGGCTCTCTCTATATGGCTATCAGACTCTTGCTTATTGGGCTTTTATGGGCTCTATTTTACCCATGCCTTATTTTTAGAACCGCATATTATCAAGTCTGAATTGGAATATGCTTAGTTTATCATGCAGGTTTTCACATATTTATTTCCATTAAATTTGAGTTTATTTTAAATTCCAATTTCTTATTTATATAGTATCAAAAATTTAATATTTTAACACAAAGCAGTTATTATTTTAATTAAAAGTGAACTAAAATGTTAATCCACAAGACTTTTCAAAAATCGTCATGGGGTCAAACAAATAGGCAAAGATCATTTTTAATAAAAATTGTAACAACAGTTATTTTTTTCTCTAACATGCCGGTTTTAGGTTCGATTCTTCCTGTAATAAATTTAGTTTTATCACACTGGATATTAGAATAATGTTAATAGATAATGTTTTCCCCATGTGATCACTAAATATGAATGAGTCTCGACATTTTAAATCTCTTTTTAAAAGACTGATAAATGGGTGAACTAAATAAATTTTCACATGGAAATGTACTATCTTCTGCAATAAATCTAGTTTTATGACTTTATAACATTGGAAAAGCGGTTCGTAACTACCATAGGAAAAAGAGAAACAGTCATGATTAGTACTGCAAAACACCATAAAAAGAAAGAATCAACTCAAATTTGAATTTCGTGGGTAAAAAGTTTATAGATATGAACAGTAAAATAGACAAAAGAAAAGACAAGAAATGAGAAGATCAATAATTACAGTAATAAAAATGAGAACATAAACAATACAGAAAATACTCTGCGCGAATAAAAGAAGAGACAAAGATTCTAAACTGTATTATTGAATCATTTTTCCATATTACGCCGGGCACAGGTGATGCCTACACTTGCATGCATCGTCTGCTCCCACCACAATCATTAGTTTCTATTATGGGCCCCTTGCTAAGTTGCTTAACCGGTCCAATCGGAATAGCTGTACTCGGTCGGATTTATATTCTTTAAACCCAAAAGTTTGAAACCACTATAGATAGCAACCACATATTTATCTATACTGCGACATGCCAATCTTTGGAACTTTTGATGCTTTAATCTAAATGTTTAAAGTTTGAGTTAATACTTGGCTTAAGCATCCATACATTTATGATTCAAGTGATCCACTTATTCTCAGAAGAAAACAGTAAACCAGTTGATAGTTAGTCGTCATCATCACATGCACAACGATGATGAATATGACATATCCACATGGTCATGGATATTGATGTGTACGACCACAAACCCACTATTATAGATTCTCTTGACATAGAGTCGACTCATCAAATTAATTTGCCTCACTATAACCAAACAAAAGACGACCATGTTATCGAAAACAACTGTACACCCTATACACATACACCATTTCATATTTTTCAATCAAGTTACACAATTGTATATATAATCCTTATCAGCCTATCCATTCTTCACATTCTGCCAACCCCCTCACCATGTGCCATCCATCTCTCCTATTTGTTCCATGTCAATTTCAGACGTTGCCCAACAAGATTTTTCGTTGGTCTAATCCTTAATTTTTTAATATTTATACACACGTACATGTTTATATGTACAACACTAATAATCACTTATTTTCATATTAATATTGTATATTAGTACTTTGCAAACAAATATACTGTCAGAGGGAAAGTCTTTTCTTATGATTTGTTAACTCAATTCACTAGAATAACATTACTGGTCTGCAACTACATGGAATGTAAATCACTTTAGTTAGACTGTTAGAGATAAATTATGAACCGTAATAGATGAGGAATTACTAGTCTAAATGTGACACTAAACAGTTCCAACTACGACTACTCAATCTAGTTTGCATTACTTTTCCTTTTGATGTAGTATTAAACAACTAGAGTGAGTATTAAGTCGTTTTCTATCAATTATTAAAGTGGTTTTATTTACTACCATGATTTCAACATATCCTTTGATGCGAAGATTAATATATTTGGTGAAATGGCATGTGATTATTAACCACTCATACAAGATCAGGTGTCCACCTTTCCAAAATCTGTGCCAATATTTTCAACTCAGAAATAGTGTGTACCAGTAACCCATGTCACTTTAAATATAAAATACTATACAATATAAAATCCAGTAACAAAATATACCAACAACAATTCCAAGATGACTATATGTGTGACTGTGTGTATATTTAATAATGACCTATATCGACGATTCGTTACTCTTTTGTTGCATTTGGTGACTATCTTTAAGAAACTAAATTATTCTTCTTCTTTTTTTTTGATAAAGGGCTTAAGAAACTAAATTCTTGTAATAAACTAATGAATTGCATAGACTTAATCATATACATCTATGTATGTCTGAAATATTAAAATTCATTTAAAATATATAATGTATACTGTTTTAAATAAATCGAATTCAAACACTGAAAAGAAAGAAGGACCATACTTTTAAAAATATACTACAAAGTAGCAGAAAATGCCAAGTGAGTTTGATTCCTAAAAGGGATTACACCCAAGAAAAAAACAAAATGCTATATTGTAAGATTTTTTATAAACAAGGCAAGCAGTCAATATGAACAACAACCTCATACATACGCTTCTCTCCATATTACACTATTTAAAATTTCAAATATTTTTTAGCCTGTAATATGACACGAATGAATTTAAAAATTAATATATCCAATATATTTTCTAAACAAAATAATTCATTCTAAGAACAAAAAATATATATATATATACCTTTTATAGGTGCTGCCTCATTCTCCCACAGCTCATAAGTTTTTGCTCTCTCACCAAAACAAAAGGCAGAAGAAATATTTCGTTTCCAATGGCTATACGCGGAGATGAGCATGAGTTTATGAACCTAAGAGAGTGGGATCGAAGAGCTCGATTGATCCGCGAGAACCCAAGTTCAAGAAGGTTCTCTGCTTCATACGTTGGAAGCTTTAGAGAAGATCATCCCAAGTCTTCTTCATCAAGAACATACTTAAACAACATCTCTAGTACTGCCTCTTCTCCTGGTTATACCCTCAAAGGTGGCTAAACATTTAATTACCACTCTCTTTTTACCCTTTCTAGTGTGTTATGAACTATTTTATCTGATAATATTTAAATTTCAAATCTTTATAACAGACGAGATTGACCCATCAACATATTCCTTCACCAATGCACTCAAGGGTAAGTTTTTTCATTAACAAACAAAATGTTAAAATACAAAATAAAGGAAGAATGTTCAAATAATGTTCTGTTTTTCTTTTTTGGGTTTGCAGCGTTACAAGCAAAGACAATGTTCAATAACAGAGAATGGTTAACACAAGAAGGGTTTGCGTTGAATTCGAAGTGGAATGAAGCAGAGAAATATATATGTAATCCAGTATCTGGAGAAGTTCCAATGGAGTGTTTATCTTCTAAAACATTAAGTGCAAGATCTTTTAGAAAGTTGACAACCACCATGTCTGCTCCTCTTCATTACCATAATCCCAATCCCATAATAAATAATTTTGTTCAAAACAAAACCAATGATAATCCTAACGTTAGAGTCATTCACGAGGATCTTTATGCTCCTGATCCTGTTCTTGTTCGAGGTGATTGATTTTTAACATGCGTTATTTTTTATTGTTAGCTTTCTTGAATTTTTTCTCATTTATCTTTGGGGGTGTTTTTCAGCAGAAAAGAAAGTTGTGGGGCTGAAACGTGATGTGGGCATTCAGAGTAAGTCGGTGGATCTTAGCTCCGGTAGCCCTAGTCCGGCAGAGACGCCTCCGATCATGGAACGGTCACTGAAACGACACGTGGATGCTAATGATTCGCCAGTGGATTTCAGTCTCAAAGTGGAAGGTCAACAAGAGGTATTTAAATACATATAAAAGTATTTAATACATATGAGGTCCATCAAATAGTACGGATGTTAATAATTGCACAAACATTTAGAATTGCTCGTGCATTAATAATGAGATTTTTGCGTAAGTTAAGGAACGCACCAACCAATTAATGGTACCAATGTTTCAATCATAACAAGAGACAATGATAAAAACTCTTATATGTTACTGTTCGTATACATATGTTGATGATTCATTTTAAGATTCAGAACATAGTACACATGTGTATCAATCAGAGAAAACATTACAAAAGAATCTATAATCATATGGTATCACTCTTTCATGAAAAATCTTTCATTAGATTTAGACCCCATTTCAAGATTTTGTGTCCTACTCACGTGACTACCATTACCATCTAGATTCTTTGTGCATTATCTGTATATACACATAGGTATGCGCGTGCATGCATTTGTGTATCTATACATTTATAGACAGACTCAGACTCATAGATTCAGTCTCGTTTGGCAATAATTATCAAATCCCTCTGTTCAAAAAACATGCAAATTTAGAGTACTGCATGGCTATTAAATTTTTTGTTTTTAATCTAAAAAGTATCATTAAAATATAATTTTAAAGTTATTTAACCAACTACAAAATATAATTGATTACACAGTTTCTAATAAACGTAAAAGTTACATTGAAATATGAAAACATCATCTATTTTGCAACATCAAAAAGTTCCTATAATGTATATAACAAAATAATAATGTCATAACATTCAATCTATTAGTAGATTCACCAATCCCCAAGTTTACACTTTTAACTTCGGTAAACAAAAACTGATCTACTATATTTTAACACAAAATTGATTTACTAAAATACTGTCCAAAACGGCCAAAGGTTCCCAACTGTAAGGAAAAAACTTCATTTTAGGTTCCAACTTACGTGTATTCTTAATATATAAAACTATATGTTAATGATATGTGATTTGGGTTTATAAGGATTTGAAGTTTGAAGAAAAAGAGAAAGAAGAAGAGAAGCAAGAGATGAGTAAAGAAGGAGAAGAAACAGTAGAGAAGCAAGAGATGAGTATTAAAGGAGAAGAAAAAGAAGAGAAGCAAGAGATGAGTGAAGAAGATGAAGAAACAATGAAGAAGCAGAAGAAGAAGAGAGGAAGTGGATGCTTCTCATGGAGAAGATCAAGACAAAGAAAATCAAAGTACATCTTCCCAATTTGTGTTCCTCATCTTGTCATAGGTTGTTGAAACAACCTTAAAACACCAAGAGATTCAACCAAAAACAACAATAAAGAACTTCTTATTGAGATTATTATTATTATTATATAGTATTACTAGTCCTTCCTCTTCATATAGATATTCATCATTCATGGGAATGTCAAAAGCTTAACAGTTCTTTTGCTCCCCCTTTTTCTCTATAACAAAATGTTTCTCTCTATGAGCCCCATCATGATTATTCTGTTTCCTCCTCCTGATCAGCCTTCCATTCCATAATGGCCAGAGTGTGTCGACCACCACATGCCACAAACTTAGCTATCCACTTTCCATCCTCTTCTTCATCTGCGTGGTTAAACTGTCCTTCAGGTGGTGGAATGTCTATTGGAAGCTCTAATGGTTGTCCTGTTGTCACTTTTCTTCCATACCCGAGTCTACCGTGGTCTCCTCGACCAAACTGATCACAAGACATAACAGAGAGGTTTAGAAGTTTAAACTTCTGGTTTAAACCAACAAAATGTGTTTTTCTTTCTTAGAGAACTTACCGAGAAGATCCTACCGTCTCTTGTCAAAGCAACTGAATGAGTTCCACCACATGAAACCTGAAGAGAGAAGATTGATATGAGCTTTATAAAGTTATGAGAAGAGTAGAGAAACTCGTGGTTTTAGTTATTTTTACTTGAATGATGTTTTCTCCTGCTAAGAGATTAACTTTCTGTGGAACCATTTTGCTGCTCTTGTCATTGTCACCAAGCCCAAGCCTTCCATGTTCTCCTCTTCCCCAACCATACACCTTATAAGATATAACCAAGTCAGTCAAGATCGACGTCAAGTTCTGAAAATCAAAGGTGACACTCTGGAATAATACTAGTAGACTATATCAGTTAGTATACCTCTCCTTCATCGGTTAAAGCTGTTGAATGCCATCCACCAGCTGCTATATCAACCTAAAGACATGCGTTTCATGAAGTGGAAATTTATTAATCTTCTATGGCCTTTACAGATTAAGCATCAGAAAGCAGTTGGTTTACTTTTAGACCACATACCAGAGAGAGATCATCAAGGCCTTGAACTTGAATAGGTTGAGATCTCGGTTGGGTATCTCCGGTTCCAAGTTGTCCATATTCATTATTACCCCAAGCCCACAGAGTCCCATCTTCTTTCAGAGCCAAGTTATGAAATGCTCCAACAGCAATCAGACGAACGTTTTCAAGACCCTGAACTCTTACCGGAACAGATATCTGTTTTCTGTGATCAAACAAAACACAAGAAAGTCCCAACCCCACGTTTTAGTAACAGCAAACCAGAAAACACAAACGTAAGATCGATTAATGAAAGGAATATTGATCTAGTACATGTCACCGGGAGGCCAGGGTTGGCCCCAAGTCCATACAGAACCTTCACGAGTTAGAACCACAGAGTGGGTACCTCCTGCAGCTACCTATAAGTTAAAACATAGAAACACGATAAAACTATGGTTTAAACAGTAAAAAAGTATCAAAACCAGAGGTAAATGCAGAGAGGTTAAGAGGGAAAAGTACCTGACGGACTGTAAGTTTAGGGGCACAACGCTTAGGGATTACAATATCTCTACGCACAGGTCTACCTGTCTCATCCTTGGAAGGCTCTTCACCACACTGCCCATATTCGTTTCCACCTAAGTACAAAAAAAGAGCATAAGTGTCTTTCTCTTTTAAGATCTTTAAGGGTATAATCAATAGAGAGAATATATGCATACCCCAAGCATAAGCTCGGCCTTGATCATCAACAGCTAAACAATGCCAACCACCAATAGCAGCCTGTTGATCCATTCGTTGAAAACACATTCTAAGTAAACAACAACAAGGAAAAAGTATAAAAAAAAATACTAGACATGTGAATGATATGTTAACCTGTGTAATCTTGACATTGGCAAGAGACTTAACAAGACTAGGGATGCTTTCTGTTTTCTTCTCTGGTGGGTGTCCTAATGTACCCCTTTGATTCCAACCCCATGTAAACAGCTGATACATTTTAACAGATTAATAAAAAGCATTAGCTTCTTTATTCACACTATGTAATCTCAACTAGGGGCTAAAAGCTCAAAAGAGGATCAAAGTAAAAAAAAAAAAAAAAACTATTAGACATATCCAGGGAACAGAACCAGCGTTGAAATATCTGTTCTATCCCATACAGATGGGTTTCAAAATGAGAGTCAGAATAAGACTAGCGACAAACAAAAAAAAAAAAAGACAAAACTTTAAAACCCTCTCTCGTTTGGTCTATCAAATCTCAAAAACCCTCTCTTTTTTTTTTTGTCGGCCACTTCAAATCTAATCAAAGCGTTGAACTTTATACTGAGTTGTGAGCAAAACCCGCCAAAGGAAGAAGAAACCAGAAAGTAAATCTATTAGTTTTTTTACCTTGCCATCATCGCAAATGGCGAGAGAGTTGCGGCTACCACCAACAACTGAGCGAACGTAAAAAGGCTCAAGAGCTTCAACGATGCAAGCCCATTCCTTTTCTTCATAAGTTCCAAGTCCTAGTTGCCCATCTTCTCCAGAACCCCTGTACAAAAGAAAAACACAATCAAAATGAAAAAGAGCAACAAGTGAGAAGAAAACATCAATGGAGAGCTGAAGCAAAAGGTTGGAGGAAAGAGAACTGACCAAGCTATGACGGAAGTAGCTGAAGCCATTTTGAGACGACTGCGAATGAGAGAGAGAGAGAGAGAGAATGAGAGATTATAAAAGAGAGAGAGAGAGAAAGTGAGTGGAAAACCGAGGAGAACAAAAGCAGGGGCACTCGCTCTTCGGTGTGTTTCTTCAATTCGAGGGCTATGTGTTGTGTCATTAAAGTCATCTATTATTTTATTATTACACCCACTAATTCTTTATTAATTACCTTTTAATAAAAATTAGGCTCATCTATGTAACAAATAATGTATACTAAGGGTTATTTATCAAATAAATCATAATATAAGGAGCTAATTGTGAGTGTGCTAATAGATGCCTCATGCTGGGCCACTTCATTATATGGGCTTTCTTTTGTTTGGGAAATTTGGGCCTTGTTGGCTGTATTTTTTGTCTTGGCCTTTATTGGGCTTTTCTTTGTACTTTGGGCCTGTTTATTATCAATAGATGACAAAAAAAAGGAGCTAATTGTAAGTTTGTCAAGTGAGGTTTTTACGGAATCACCCTTTGCCCTGAACCCATTTCAGTCTACTTCTTCTACGAGCTTTTGATCGGAGAAAAGGGTCTGTCGTCAATGGGGGGAAGCTATGTGGAGCAAGCTCGTGAGAATCACGTCAAGAAGAAGGTTGAAGAAGGTAATATTACCAATGTCTTCTTCTTCATTCATTCATTCATTCCCGCTATGTTACTAAACCCTAAACCCCTAAATAGTCTTGCCTCCAAAATGGGATAACGATAACCCTTTAAGCCTGTTTTAGCATCAGAGAAGCTGATTCTTCTTGATCTCTCAAAACCCATGTCGTTAATCCTCGAAAAGTTATGGACTTTATCTTATCAATTGAATTAACATTGGTTTTTTGAATTGCTTCTATGTTAATTGAGCTAAGGAGATATTTGTTGAAGTTTAATAATGTTGATGTGTTGTTTGGTTGATTGTGTAACTTTGTTTAATTAGCGCTGCGTAGCAAGATGAAGGCCAAGGCATTAAACGAGTGTGATCAGTACGTCTCTAAGTATGCTGAATGTGCCACGGGGAGAACCTTCTCTGTGGTTTGGACATGTCGTAAGATAGCTAAAGAGCTCAACACTTGTCTCCATGAGTTGTGAGTTAATTTCACCTCTTAATGAGTGTCATCTTGTTTTCTCTGTTATATGATTTTGTTAGAGATTATACTTAACCTTGACGGGGTATGGAGCATTGGACTTGTTAGGAGATACATAGTCTGGTTATGAATCACCATTGCTCGTAATCTGTAAGCAAATATAAACTTATAAAAAGGGGTGATTATGTGTTCTTTGCTTATTTGTTCTTCGCTCACAAGTTCTTATAAGGCGATACTTAAATGTCAGTCTCTAATCATGATTTTTTTTTTAATTCTGCAGCACCAATGACAAAGTGTTGGAGGAAATGAAGAGAGAGTACACGCTTCAAGAAGAGGGTAAACTCTCAGCAGCGTCGACCACATGATTTTTTTGTTTTGTCGGACAAAAGATTTGAGTCGGACCAGTATCAGGTGGTGGCGTTGTTTCTTGTTGATTATGGACCAAATAGATGCTTTATAAGATCTGTCTTAATTATGGCCTTTCTACAATAAAGGGTTTGTTCACTATCATAAAAGTAATAGACATTGTTTGCAAACATCCAAAATACTTGAGAGTTCAAATTCGAAGATGTTTCTCATAACCAAAAACATAGGTTTCACACAAAATTCAGAACTAAAACAAACAAACAAAAAGAGAAAATCTTCAGATGGTTAGAACGAAGAAAGCAAGTAAAAAAGCAAAGGACTTCAAGCAGTAGGCTTCCTCATATTTCTTCCTGCACGAATCACTTCGTCCACCAAAAGCAACTGCGATGCAATCACCGGCCTGCAACACAAACAAGTACTTATTAAAATGGCTTCAACCAAAACCCACAAATTTATAAAAAAATTTGGTTGCTTCCAACATTACCCTGAGTTGATAAGTTGGCGTTTCACTGAGTAGTTGTCGAAGATACCAGCGAGCTGCGGGTCAATTGGTTCACCATCCTCAAGGTTCAATCCCACTACGTTTCCTTTGTCATGCTCGCTCTGCATAAGTGGATCACAGTGAGCAATTAAATCTTTGTTTATTTCCGCAATTGATTTCGGTTTGCGGAGAGATGAATGCGTACCGTAAGAGAAATGATCACGTCTTGGGTGTCAAGACCTGCGTTTTCAGCAAGTGTCTTAGGCACCACGAGAAGGGCATTTGCAAAAGCTTCAACGCCAAGTTGGGCACGCTGCAAAGTTGATGATAGTATTAGTGATCTAGAATGCTTATGAAAACACTAGAGTAATGTGTAATGATATTAAATTACCCCTTTAACAGTTTTCTTGACTTCATTGAGTAAGTGCTGTCTTGCTGCAACTTCAAAAGCTCCTGCTCCCTATATAAAGATGCAACCGTGCATAAACATAACGGATAAATTACAATAGGTTTATTTGCTTACTTTACGACAATCTCTTTGACATTGCAGAGAAACGGAGAGTAAAAACTCACAAAAGATTTTAAGAAATTAGCAAGGTACTTACTAACACAACACACTCGTCTTCTATGGTGTTCTTGACCGATCTTAGACCATCACGAACAGCATCCTTAATTTGAGCAATGGTGTGGTCATTAGGCCCTAGCAAACCAATAAATCATGAATGACTATCAACGTGAATACGAGAATAAATAAACCATCAAAAAGTAATGAAGAGATAGAAGATGGCCTAATACCTTTTATGAGGATGGTACATGAAGTAGGATTCTTGACTTGCTCCACGAAGGTGTACTTTTCCTCCCCAAGAACGTGCTCATAGACAAGTCCAGCCCATCCAAGCGACTCAGGGGTCAGGTCGTCAACAGAATTCACAGCGTCTCCACCACAGGCCAGAACTAAACGTTCCATGTTCCTCCTCTTTGCTCTTCTAAGGGCAATAATCTGGAGAGATAAGGAAAGGTAATTAGATTCAACTGCTTGTAACATTCATGTGGATGCAAGAAATTACAGACATAGTTATAGCTTACCCCTTCTCTAGCAAGAAGATCCAATGACGGTGGGTCAATACCCTTTTGATTTATGATAACAAAGTTGTTATCATTACCAGCACACACCTGCACAAGGAAAAAGCATTATTAGCTTTTACAAAATTTCAAATACGGCTCGGATAAGTGGTCTCAGTCCCACCTTTTTCTTGAGATCGATAATTTTCTGAACTCTTTCATCAACAGATCGCCTCTCGGCAGTAACCATGGCTTCCCTCTGCTCCGCATTAGAGTAGAAAAACCCTGCATTAATTTCGCTGATAGATAAACAAAAGTATCAGTCTACATCACCAGTAAAATCTATTTCTCTTCACAGATTGACCAAAGAATTATATTATATACCTCTTCTCATACTCCAGCGACACATTGCAAGTTAAGATGTGGCAATTTTCAGCGCGACGTTTCATATCAGGGTGCCTTGAACCATGATCTAGAACAAGCCCCTCGACCTAAATCAGGAAGGAATCACTGTTATACTTGCAAATGTTTTAAGATTTCAAAATTATAAAAAACTTCGAGAGGACAATGTTACAGTAAACCACCACATGTCAAAGCCATACCAATCGTGTGTCAACATCGAATTTGTGGCGCATGTGCATTATCTCCACCATAAACAGATCAATACCTTCCTCAGGCTTCCGGATACAGAGAACCTGTTATGCATGGATAGGTGATAATCATACAAACAAGTTGGAAAACCAGTACTCGCGCATAGATGAGTTATCATCGGTGTGAAAAAAAAAAGAAAACGAAAAACATTAATAAGAGTTCGCAAGAGATCGATAAACTCACAGAATTAACGACAATGTCAGTCAATTGGTCAGCCAAGCTTTCGTACAGCTGCCACAAGACACAGTAGTAAACAGAGGTTAGGGGGAAGAATCAATAAAAAAAAAAGAGAGAGAGATAATCAGAAAATCAAGAATACCTTTGTTCTAAGTGTCGTTCTCGCGACCATTTTTAGGATCTCTTTATCAGGTTCATCACCCATAACCACAGGGGTCTTGAAGTTCTCAAGGAACTGAAGCGTAGCTTTCTTAGCAATCTCAAAACCATCAACTAAGACACGTGGATGCATACCTGATACATATATACACCTTCATTAGGATTTAAGACCATTTCTCACTACAAAAGTTGATAAAAGTTTATACTAACACCATTTGTAATTTTTATAAATTCAATTTCAAACAAAACATAGCAAATCTCAAACACACCATTTGTACACATTCATACGCTAAACTCAACATACAAACTGAGAAAACTAAAAGTGTCAGATCCCAAAAGCAAAAACCTAAAACAAGAGTAGAGAGGCATAAAAACTAATGAACTAGTTATACAAATCAAAAGTTAGACTAGGTAAGTAGTTTTCGCTAATATAGCAACTCACCTTCATCAATGCATCTTTCAGACTGTTTCATGAGCTCACCAATGAAGATAACAGTGGAAGTAGTACCATCACCACTAATATCATCCTGTGCAACAGCCGTCCTCGCAATCATAATAGCAGTCGGATTCTGAATTTGCTGCAACAATTAAAAAAAAATGAGCATGTAAGCATCATCCAATCAAAGAAGATGCCACTATCTGCAACCTTTCGTCTATCTTCTCTTATCACAGAAAACTGACCCTAATCATAAACCTAAACTGATCATATTGTTATTATTTCAAACCTAATCCATCCCGCAGATATAATAGCAACATGAAATCAATCAAATCAAGCTTAATTTCATTGAAAAAAAAAATAGCATATTCAGTCTCAAACCAAATCAAAGCTCTGACACTAAAAGACCCCAAGTCACAAACTTTAGAGGACCCTTCACTAACTAAACAGCAATCAGACTCACCATTTCCTTCAATAGAGTGTTCCCATCCTTGGTAAGCTTGATATCTCCCGATCCACCAACAAGCCTACATCGTATGAAACAACAAATTCAACAACCACATCTAGAAGATGAACACTATAGATTACGAAAAAATCAAAAAAAGAGAGAGAGAGAATACATCTTGATTGTTCCCTTGGGACCGAGATTTGATTTGAGCACATCTTGCAAGCCCTTGGCGGCGTTGATTGTCATATGAAGCGCCGCCGTTTTGTTGAGAACCTCGGCATTAGGGTTCAGAACTCGTACAGACATTTTGTCGAAAAGTTTCTCGCGTTCTTACGGGATCGGAGTATGAGGAAGAGAGAGGAGCTGGAGAGTGAGAGCTGGAACTTTGCGAGAAACTGAGAATTTATTAGGGCAAGAAGAAGCAGGGAAGGGTATACTCTAACTCAGATAGAGACTCCCATTTACTGTAAATTACACTTTGACCCACAATATAATATTTTATTACACTTTTAGCCCTATATTCATGGATTGGTTACTTTGCGTACATAAAAATTTCAGATTTCACCCGCCCAGTAACTTACATTGTTTATTACTAATCACTAGGTGTTTTGCCCGCACATGCGGGCTTAATTATTTTTAAGACAATTTAAAAAATCATCAAAATAAATGATTATTTTCATCCAAAAAATTCGACTTAAAACATTAAACGTTTTTACATGATAAAACTATTCACAAATTAAAAGAAAATCTATTTTTTCCTTTAAAACTTTGAAAAAAAGTTAAAGTCTATTTCATTTCTTCTTAATTGATAAAAAATATAAAAACTTATCTTTCAATTTGATAAATTGAATCAATAAAAAGTTAATTTATGAATATTTATTTATATGTTTTCTGTTTTTGATTTTTTATTAAAATATATTTTCCGGATAACAACACAATATATATAGGAGTTATCTTTCTTTTTTAAAATATATATTTAGATTATGGATAATTCTTATCACTAATATTAATTTAAATCATTTATCTAATCAGATAAGTATTAAATTTGTTTTTAATTTATATATTTTATTCATTAAGGGTATAATCGATATTAACCACTGCAACTTTTAACGTGAGAGCTCTGTTGCGAAAAATCACTTCGCAAATAATAGTATAGACTATGCGTTTTGCCCGTACATGCGGACTTAATTATCTTTAAATATATTTAAAAATCATCAAAATAAATGATATTTGCATCCAAAAAATTAAACCTAAAACATTAATTTTTTTTACATGATAAATTTATTCACAAATTAAAAAATATACTTCTTCCTTTTAAACTTTAAAAAATCTAAAGTCTATTTCCTTTATTCTTAATTAATAAAAATATAGAAATCTATCTTTCAATTTGAAAAATTGAATCGATAAATATACATTCAAAAATTGATCTTACAAAAATAATAATATTAGTTTAGATAATAATACAATTAAAATTTATTTTTGCCAAACACGTTTGTTTTTATTTTTGAATGATTATTTATTTTATTATGATAAATTCATGTTTAAGGATTACTTATATATAAAACTATAAAAATAAATTTAATTTCACGTGTGAGCCCAAAGGCGAAAATAACTTCACAAATATATATATCATTATATTATATTATTATATTCTTTTAATTTTAAAAATAATTACGCATTATAATTTTTTAAAATTTTTACTTTCAATTATATACAATTAAAGTTTTTACTTAATTATATTTTTTATGCGTTTTATGTTTTTGAAATTTTTTTATTAAATATATTTTCCGGATAACAATACAATATATATAGGAATTATCTTTTTATTTTTAAATATATATTTAGAGCATGGATAATTCTTATCATTATTATTAATTTAAATCATTTATCTAATCAAATAAATATTAAATTCTTTTTTATTATTGGTTGATTTATATATTTTATTCATTAAGGGTATAACCGATATTAACCACTCCAACTTTTAACGTGAGAGCTCCGTTACGAAAAATCACTTCGCAAATAATAGTATAGATTTGAATCTAGTATTTATTTAAAATTACAAAAATTTCAATCTTAAATTATTTTTTACTATCAAACACGTACTATTAGATAAAGAATGTCATTCTATTAAAAATTCATAAAAACATGATAAAATGTTGTGTCATTTAGAATTTCATAAATATGAGAGATTTTTCAAAAAGAGTACAAATTGAATCAAAACCAAAACAATGATTTTTTTTTGTCTAAAGAATTACTTATCCCCTATATATTATTTGAGAATCATTTAAAAAGTTATAACATTAAGTTTGTAAGAATTAAAAATAACCCCAATCCTACGTGGCATAGCTCGTTGGCTTCTATTTCAAATCCCAAAGATTTTAGAGCATGTGATATAATGTATAGTTTAAAAATTATATTCTCTAGCAATATAATATTCTGTAGGCTATAATTGGTCGCATATATCAAAGATTTATTGTTTCGCATACTTTCCTTAAATAAAATCTACGGAATTACCTAATGTGATTAAAATATATATATGACAATTAATGATTTTAAACAATAAAGATTTGATAACAATCTATATACTTTTTTATTTTGTTTATTTCTTTATTATTAAAATAAATTACACAATTACATTAATCATATAATAAAAATCTAGATTCTTTTTTGTGTATATTGTATTTCGAATTTTTCAAAATGAGTATAAATTACTAAAACTGTTAAAACTCCCACATAAACTTTTAAGATCAAGGTTTTAATTTTTTGTATACTAAAATATAATGATTATAAGACCATATGAAGAAATAATTTTAGTTTATATATATTGCATATCATTTTAATTAAACTATACATCGTATGAAAATACATACTGATATTTTGATATTTTCCTTGAACATATATTGAAAAACTAATATTTTAATTTTGAAATATGTCATTGTTTTTTTAAAATAATTATAATTTATTGAAATTACTAAACATCTCACACTAAAAAATATTTGTTAGTGTAAAGTTATTTTACACAAATATGCAAATAATCATAAAATCATATGAGTAGAAACCTCATTTAATAAATATACATATTAAAAGTGTGCTACATTACTATGTTTATATCATTTAAATTTAATTTTATATCATATACAATATATAAGATTGATTATTTTGATTTATTTACCCTAATTGTGAATAAACAAGAGTAATAGTTAAATTTATATGCATACGCCAATTTATTACATAATAGTAACTGATTTCTTAGTTATTTAATATATATTTATTATTTTATTATTTATAATATGCAGAAAAATATAAAATATAAAATAAATAATAAATATAAAATATTTATTGTGTATAAATTGAGATCTTAATCTAAGTATGTATCTCTTTAATTATTTTAAATCTTAAGTATTTTCTAAATTTCATGTCAAAACAAACAAACGTAATGAGAATAAAATTTAAAATAAATATTTATATCCAGTAATAACCAAAATATAAAAAAAAACATAGCAAGAGAAAAATGGAAGATAAATAGGATTGACACGTGAACGTAAACTTCTCATAACCATAATTAATTTTTAAATTGTTAAATCATGATATAAAATTGAGTTAATTTTTAATTTGTTAATTTGTTAATTTTTAAATCATTATGGTTATGTTAACTCATGACCATAATTAATTTTAAATTGTTTATTTGTATTTGAAAAACTTAAAATATTGTTTTTAAAAATAATTTAAAATTTAACATAATTTTTTTATAAAATTATTTTTAAAAATAAGAAATTAAAAAATATAATTTTGTAATATTATTAGACAGATAAATAAATTATATTAAATTAGTTTTGAAACTTTATATATTTTAAATTCAAATATTTTACCAATTGCTTCTTAAAAAACATTAGAGAACTTACTAATACTCTACCAATCAAGCCCAGTGACACTCCATTTATTTTCCATCACTCGAACACTGAAAAATGAAAAGATATATGAAATCAGATCCATTAAATTCTAAGATTTGATCTACATTTCTAATTAAAATTGTTTATGATCATACGTATAGATAATTATATTAAAATTCCAAAATTCTAAAACTTCAAATACATACAAAAACAATCATATGTAAATTTTAAATTTGTCAATAATAAAATTTTATATTTTAATTACATATATTCACCTTACGCAAGGCGCAGGTCTTATCCTAGTATACATTAAGATGCAAAACAAGAAATCAGTTTGTAGAATACAAGCTTCCTAAACAAAAGGAGATTGAAATGATACTGATCAGTTGCCATTTTGGGCAAGGTCATGTGTACTACCATATTTGCTTCTCTTTTATCTTTTCGTATGGATCCATTGAATTATATTTCCTGATTGGATAGTTTGATATTTGATTATCTACTCATAACTAAATAAGTATATGAGAACTCTAAATTATAACGCATTTTGAATATCCATGTGTTTATTGTGTTAACATATGTTGGACTCGCTTCTCCAAGCAGAATATATATGTATAATATGACCAATCGAATAGAAACAAAATAAGAAAACGGGATGGGGATAGACGTCACGAAATTAACTTACTTATATTGATACCAACTTGTTTGTTCTTTTTGACATTCCATATGAACAACCCCGTCAGAAAGTGAAAAAGAAGAAGAAGGTGAAGAATAAAAATCATCTTCTTTAGTGCATTTGGGAGTCCAGGACCATACATCAACTAAGTCAACTCCTCATCCTCTTTTAGAGTCGATCCCAAATGTGTTTCGTGTGAAATATGGCACAACCTACGCCTTTGTGGCAGAGATATTTCCCATCATACATTTACAAATTAACCAAAAAGAAAATTTATACAATTCCTACATATTTGTAAATAGTACTAAAACAGAGAGTTTTCTCTTCATTTTGGCTGATCAAGTATGAAAGGTTTATTAGCATATTAATCTCTTCGTATAACTGATAATAAGTACAATGTTTCAGAAGTTAAATGAATTCATGATTATGTGAACTTTATACCTAAAAGTTTAGATAACCAAACAAACTGGTTCGGTTTGACCTAAGATTTTAACTATTGTTTGTTTTATCCAATAAAAAGTTTTTAGTTGTATGGGTCTCTGTCGCGGAGGCAAATTATCAAAGTCAACTATAAAAAATTATTGAAGTGCAAAAAAACAAAAGGTAGAAATACCTTTTTCTATCCCACGAATAATTAACTGCAACAATAGCTAGACGACAAAAAAATATACAACTCAATATATATATATATATATTAAGTTCTCAATATCATAAGAACAGAAGAAACATTATATATAGGTTACAGTTACATGATCGTAAAATACAAGTCCATTACAACACAAACCAAAAGCTTAAATAACAGTAAAAAGCTACGTAC